GAGAGAGAGAGAGAGAGAGAGAGAGAGAGAGTTTTCCACCCTTGCACGCAGAGAGATAGAGAGAGGCTGAATCTTCCAGTAGAATATGGAAATATATACTGCTTTCCAGCCATGAGCGCAAAGAGATAGAGAGAGGCTACTTCCATCGATACGATGAATAAACTCGAATTGAACCTTACAGTACAACATGGCAAGATTCATTGCAATGTGTTTTTTTTTTTTTTTTTTTTTTTTTTTTCCTATAATCGAATTGAATTTTACGTTACAACATGGCTATTTTCATTTTGGTGTATGTTTGTGAGTTTTTTTTTTTTTTTTTTTTTTTTTTGTTTTTTTTTTTTTTTTTTGATTTGGGTTCCCCTCCTCTTGGTCCCCGCTGCAGTCGTGGCGGGCATCCTCTTGTTTTATTTATATGAATTGTGGGATAAATTAAAATAGCAGATGTTGAGAAGGGAGAGGCTTCTGATGTGAAACCTCGGTACCGCTTGACCCTTCAGAGGCTGAACTGCGGGCTCAGGAGGAGAAACTCCGCCACCAGGCCCAGGCAATTGAGTCCCTAAAGGCTGAGCTGAAGAAGAAAGAAGCAGCAGCTCAGAATGAAGCCAGGAGAAAGTTGCTACTTGGAGATGTTGAGAAAATCAGAACAAGTGGTAGTTCCAGCCAGTACAATAAGGACATGGTTGAATTCATCCTCTTGCAGGATGACATTCAACGTTCTTATTTTACTAACTGGGATGATAGGATCGCCTGTAACACGCGCGAGGCTGAGGGAGAGCCGAGGGAGAGGAGAGAGAGAGGGAGAGCACACGCACACACTCACTCACTCGATACGATTGAGGGTCGGACGCTGACACAGTGGCCAGGGCACAAAGTCAAAGTCTTGGATTCCCGAATGCCGAAACAGCAAGTCACACGGAGTACGAGTACAGCAGTTGGAAACTGGTACCAGACAAGTCCCCGTACCGTACGGGGAGCCGATATAAGTACTGGTGACACGTACAGTACCAGGGGCATTTTTGCAAAGGCCCCGAGGGCAGAACTGAAAAATGCGGTATTTGAAAGTGCCGCCCGAATTGCAGCATGGGGCCAGTTATCCAAAATCCTACGGTACCAAAGGAGGGGTTTGGAAAAAGGGTGCCAGGCTGAAAACGGGATGCAGCCGACACAACAAAAAGATAGACCAGGGATCGAGCCTTGGCGGAGTCCGTAACACTATCCCCTCCCTCTAGAAGGCAACGTCCTGGCTGCCAAATATCATGAAGCAATGCGGAAATTTGTGAAGGACGAGATGGGGCCGATCACTGGTTAACAAGTCGAAAGGGAAGAGGGGTATAATGTGGGTGGCATGGGCTGCGGGAGTAAGAGGGAACAGGGTTTGGTACCGGTGAACAGAGTTGTCCTACTGATGAACTAGGGGGGGTTGCAGGGGACAGGGTAGTCCTACAAATGAACTAAAGGGACGGCAGGGAGCAGGGTAGTCCTGCTGATGAACTATGGGGACTGCATGGTTTGCTATAGGTTAAGGGGGAACAAAGTTCAGGGAACAAGGATCTTCTATTGATGTTCTACTGGGTAAGGGAAATGGTGTTCATGAAAACACGGTGTTTCTGTTGATGTTGTAGTGGGTAGTGGAAACAATGGTCAGGGGAACAAGGGATCTGCTAATGATGTTCTACAGGGTTGTCAAAGTCGGGAAAAATAAAAATGAAAATGTTTGTTCAGGATGCAAGGGCTGGTGTGTTCGAAGGAGTCGGAGGCAGAATCTCATGTAGGAACGAAGTGTCCAAGTGTCTTGAAAGGGGGTCTGCAATGGTCTTGATCAGGTCTTTGGAGTAGGTGGTAGAAGCGGTCTTCAGCGGCTGCGATAGGTAGAAGTCCAAGAAGCGTAGTAGTAGTTCGAGTGTAAGAGTCGAAGTGTTAGGGTGTGTCCGGTACACGAACTGCAATGAGGTCTGATCTGGAAGCAAGGAAGTCGCAGACTGATGGAAAGATCCATGTCACAAGTTGCTGGTCCAGTAAGTCCGCGAGTCAGGATGTCGGTCGATGAAACAGCATGGTGGCCAAACCAGCTACATAATCTCCATGAACTGTGAGGCAGCAGGCCATCGTCCTCGTGCGCTTGTCGTTAGATCCTTTATCGCCGGCGTCACGCAGGTTCACAAGCATTGGACAAGAGAGACAAGGTAGTGGAGAGGACAGATGGGACAAGGCTAGGGGAGGGCAAGGGCAGATCAGACATCAGGAATCGGGGTCAAGGGGAGGGTGGACTAGGTTCAAGGGTGTGTGTAGAGCGGGATTGCGAGGTTGTAGCAGGGTTTATACAGGGGTTTAGGGTTGAGAGTAGAAGAGCAGGTGCCAGTGGGATGCTCGATCGACGGGATAGCAGACGTCGTCGGGAGGGGGGCAGGCGGAGTAGATTGCATCGCCCGGGGGTCGTCCGATGGGATGTGCGTCACCGGAGGGGGGTTAGGCAGACGAATTGTCGATGCCAGATGAGCCATCGGTGGGACGGAGGACGTCGCCGATGGGTGGGCCGACAGACGCGATATCGATGTTGGGACAATGTCCTGGGGACTCTGTTCATGATGAGGACGGACTCGCGCTTGCCGAGGGCGGTGATGTGGAGGTTGCGGGTCGAGTGGAGGCGGACTGGCGGGTGAATTGTGCGGCATTGGGGCAGCTGGTTTGTTGGTGCCCAAATTGGCGACAAAGGAAGCAACCTCCATTTGCTTGGAGGTAGGTGCGCTCCTGGGGGTGAGTTTCTTGAGGCGGGAGGGTGGGGTAGATGAGGGTGGATGGGAGCTGCGATCTCTGCGCTCCATTCTCATGAATTGGAGGACATTGAGTTCCTCGGGAGTGAGGGATGAAGAGTCGAGTGAATCGGAAGATGCGTCGGGGTCAGGTGTGGTGAACTCGTCCGAGGAAGGGATGGAGGTGGTGTCTTCAGGGCTGATGTGATGGAAAACGCGGGTGCGGGAGGGGGCGGGCACGGGCTGGTGATGGGGGTGGAGTCGTCGATCGTGGTGAAGCATGCGAGAGAGGAGGTCAGCAAGGGGCATGTTGGGTTCGTGGGCGAGGGCGGTTGCAAGGTCTTTGTGGCATACTCGTTTGATGCGGGAGATGAACGCAAAGTCGGGAATGATGGTGGTGGGGAGGTGGTGGCGGAGGGAGCAGACATATTGGACGAAACGGTCCATGGGACCGGTCTGGCGGAGGTGGCAGAATTGTTCAAGGTAGTCATCAATGGTTTTCTGGGGGCGAAAGGTGGCAGTGAGAAGGTTGGCCCATTGGAGGAAGGAGTGGCGTGGTCCTTCGGAGGGTCGGCGGTTGCTGACTTCAGCCATCCACCATTTGGCGGCATTGTTGAGGAGCTGAGAGGTGGCAATGGGGAGCCAGTGGGCAAGGGGCATGTGGTCGAGGTGAAAAGAGTTTTAGTGCTAGGTTAGGAAGAGGAAAACGTCCTCGTGGGGGAGGCCGGAGAAGGACATGATTTCGCCGGATCAGAAGGAGCGGGGGATTTCCCCGTCGCGGGGAACGATCTGTGCGAGGGTGTTGAAGCTAAGGTTATCGGGGGTGGTGTTGTAGCAGGTGTAGTCGAGTTGGTTGTTGTCCTCCAGGAGGTAGTTGGGGGGGAGTTGTGGCAATTTGGGGTAAACCCCGGAGGTGACTTGGGAATAGGTGGGACGGATGGTGGGGATGGTGGAGGT